ATATTTAAAATATAAATTTGATAAACTCTTTTTTTTTCCCATAAATTTGATAAAGTGTATAAATTAGTATCCTTTCATATTTTTATGGTACATTTTTTTTCCTTTTTACTTAATTAAAAAAGTTTGGAAGTGAAAACCGTTTCTTAATTAAAAGTAGTTTTGGTCTTTCTTGAGCAAAACCTTTTATTTTTTCTTAGGTGAGGGATTACAAGATGATTTCTACTAAGGTTTAATCCAACTATTGTCCTGTTGTTCATGTGCCACATTCATCACGTTATTTATTTATAGGTTTGATTGGTAAAGCATTTTTTTTTTTTTTTGAAGATATCTTTTTCTTTTTTTCTTTTTTTATCTGAAGATCTACGTCTTCATGGCACACACTCATACGTCATTAGAAAAAACAAAGAAGGTCTTTATATCTATGTCTCTATCTTTTACTAATTTGTAAACTTTTGGTTTTGTTTTTTTTTTTTTTTGATCAGCAAAACAAAATTATTATTTAACCGGAGCACAAGGGGTACTCCTGCCCTTCTACAAAAAGTGTAAATTCTTCCCCTCCCAACAGCATAAAATCATAACAGAAATCCTATACATAGCATAATGACACCCCATAATACAAAAGACCAACAACCATCCCAATTACTCATTTAAGAAATTCATGCAGCCAAGAAAGCTATGTGGAAGGATGACGCTGCTGGTGCTTATTATACTCTTTGAGGCTTCTCTTGTAGCGTTTCAGTTCCATTGCACATTCTCTAGGATTACTCTGCCACTGAGCTAATGAGAAAACACTCCCATTTACCTTATTTCTAATCCAGAAATATGATTTCACTTGAATGAACTCCAGCAATTGGTCTCTAAAATCCTCATTACTCCTAAATACCAATACATTCCTCCAATACCATAAATACCAAGAAGTGACCAAGAAAATACATGCTCCCATCACCTTACCCGCCAAACTACCCAAGCACCATAGAAAAAAGTCCACCACACCCCTCACTGTAGCCGGCATTACTACCTCCAAACCCCACCACTGAATCACTTTGACCCAAGCTAACCAAGCCTCTCTACAAGTGCAAAACAGATGGTTAACATCTTCCTCACCCTCTTTACAAAGCGCACACACCATACCATCCCCTTGTAAAACCACCCCTCGCTTCCGCAAATTCCATCTTGTAGGAAGTCTATCTAGACACAACCGCCACCCAAAAAACCCCACTTTCAAAGGCACCCATTTACACCATATAAATTTGCTCAATTGACCCTCAAGAAAACATTCCTCTGGAGCCAAAAAATCATATGCCGTCTTTACTACATAGCTGCCTTCTGCATCATACCGCCACTGCCATGAATCTACCAAACCTTTCCTTAATTGAACACTCGCCAACATCTCCCACATACCTTTCTCCTCATCCTTTTCCCGACCCATCCTTACTGTCCTCCACTCTATACCCCATATCCATCTGTCCCCTTCCCATTTCCCATTCTCCTTTATCGTACCATCTTTATTAATGGCTAACTGAAACAACCTTGGAAATAAATCCCGAAGAGATTTATTTCCCACCCAAATATCGCTCCAAAAACTCACCCAACTACCCTCCCCAACCTCCCATCGAAACCCATGCCTTAACATATACTTTAACTTCTCTGAATGCCCTCCTATTCTAATAATGTCTCCCCAAATCTGCGACACCCTTAAATTCTCCACATCTGTAATACCCACCTCCTGCTTACCCTCGTAAAATTTCTCCTTCACTACCCTTTTCCACAAACCCTCCCTTCCATCTCCTAGCCTATACCACCATTTCCCTAACAGTGCCCAATTTCTCCGACGTAAATCCGGAACCCCTAGTCCTCCTTTCTCCTTACTCCAACAAATAACCTCCCATTTTACCCACGAGATCTTCCTTTTCTCCCTTGAACCCCCCCACAAAAAATCCCTCTCAATATTAACTAATTGAGCAAGCACAGAATTCGGCATATAAAATAAAGACATAAAAAACGTAAGAAGAGCAGAGAGTACCGAGTTTAGCAGCGTGAGACGACCCCCGAATGACAGCATGGCAGACTTCCAGACGGCAAGCTTCTCACGGAACTTACTAACCACCGGAGCCCAAAACTTTGAACACCTTGAATTACCTCCGATTGGCATTCCTAAGTAGATAAAAGGCATCTTCCCTACACCACAATGCAAAACTCCTGCTGCTCCTCTCACCCAACTGTCCGACATATTAAAACCATATACACTACTCTTGCTGAAATTTATTCTCAACCCCGACATCAATTCAAACCACCTTAGGATTGCTTTTACCATGAGAATATTTTCTTTGTTAGCCTTTCCCAAAATAACTGTGTCATCTGCAAATTGTAACAAAGAAACCACCAGCCTTCGCCTACCCACCGTGACCCCCTGTAGCAGACCTTCATTTTCTGCTTTTTTAACCAGACCATGCAATGCCTCACCAACCATTAGGAATAGAAGAGGAGACAAAGGATCCCCTTGCCTGAGTCCTTTCCCCAACTCAAACTCCTTTGTCGGACTGCCATTTACCAACACCGAAACCTTGGCCGTTGAAACACACTCCCTAATCCACCCCCTCCATTTTTCTCCAAAGCCCAACGCATCCAACATCCAATCCAGAAACGACCAGTTAACACAATCATAAGCTTTTTGAAAGTCAGCCTTAAAAACAAAAGCCGATTGCTTCCTCTTGCGTACCTCATCTACAACTTCATTAAGAACCAACACATTATCAACCAATTGCCTTCCTCCTACAAAAGCCGATTGCGTTTCGCTAATAATCTCTGGCATCACATCCTTAAGCCTATTAGCTAACACTTTTGCTAGCAACTTATACATACAACCAATTAGACTAATAGGCCTAAAGTCTTTGAGATCCCTAGGGCTCAACTTCTTCTGTACTAATGCTATAAAAGAAGAATTCAACCCCTTCACTAACCTACTGTTCTGATGAAAATCCCGAAAAAAATCAACAAAGTCATCCTTAACACTGCCCCAAATGAATTTAAGAAAGTTAAAATTATACTCGTCAGGCCCCGGAGCTTTACTCCCATCACAGCTCTTCAAGCCTTCTTCAATCTCCTCAACAGTAAAATGCCTTTCAAGCCACACCTTTTGATCACTAGAAATTCTCCGAAAAACAAGATTTGAAGGTTTGGGTTGGTTCCAGGAGTCTTCCCGAAACATCTTGCTAAAGTACTTAACCATCTCATCCTTGACCATATCAGGATCCTCTACCCACTGACCATTAGACCATAATCCCGAGATACTATTTTGGGCCTTCCTCCCATTTGCAATTTTGTGAAAATATCTCGTATTCTGATCCCCCAATCTAACCCAATCACATCTAGACTTTTGCTTCCAGATAGCCTCCCTTTTCCATAGAATATCCCATAAGTGCTGGAAACCTTCCTTTCTCTCAATCACCTCATCTTCCTCCAACTCTATCAATTCATTCTTCAAATCAAACTGTTCTACTCTATTGGCCACACTATGGAATTGAACTTCCATGTTTCCGAACACCTCTTTATTCCATCCTTTTAGGAATTCTTTCAACCTCTTAAGCTTCTGTTGACATCTATAACCCGCATACCCTTCCTCATGTAACTCCTTCCATTTATCCTCAACCACCTTCTTGAATTGTGGGTGCTGTAGCCAAGCATCAAGCACTCGGAACGGTTTTGGACCCCAATCAGCTACCGTCGTTTTTATCACAATTGGACAGTGATTAGACACAGTCCTCTTCAATCCTTTCTGCATCCAACCCTTTCCCAGACTATACATCTCACCAGACATTAGGACCCTATCCAGCCGACTCATAGATGACCCATCTGGCCTGTACCATGTAAAGCGTCTATTTGCCAATTTAATATCTACCAACCCAGTTGACACTACAAACTCATCAAACTCCCTCATATCCTGAGACTCCCCTGTCTTACCCTTCCTCTCATTTATACTCCGAACTGCGTTGAAATCTCCTACAATCATCCATCTACCTTCCTCTTCCATTATCATTTGCCGGAGTTCTTCCCATAGTTTCACTTTCTTCTGCTTATCATTTGACGCATAGACATTCACAAAATTACACTTCAACTTGTTAGGACCCCATTCTCCTGAAATACACAAAAAAACCCTCACCTAAGCGCACCCCCTGTTTTACAAACTCCATTCGATTCCAAATACAGAGTAACCCCCCTGAGGCTCCAATCGATCCCTTCATCTCCCAATCATAATTAACTGAAAACCACAACATTTCACATAAAGAACCCTCCACCTTCTCTAATTTTGTCTCCTGTAAAAATAAAAAATCTGGACGCTCTGCTCTTACCAACCTACTCACCTCCTTCTTCTTCACCGAACTCCCTAACCCCTTCACATTAAATGAGACTAACTTCATAAAAATAGCACAAACACACAACCCCCCTAACATTCGCCTCTACCCTTCCTACTCCCTCCCCTGCCTGGCATCCCACTCCTCCAACTCTAGTAGCCTCGACTGAACCTCTCCCTCATTATCTTGCCACTGAATAACCAATCTTTTTCCTACACTAAATATCCTCCTTACCTCCTGTAGAGTCATCTCCCTTTGCAGCACCTAGTTCCGATTAGCGATACACCCATCTGACAACGATAAGCTTCCAACCCCCTGCACCTGCGTCGCCTCCACCTGCTGCCCTTTATGGGTTCTGAGTGATCTCACCATGGTTCGGCCTGTAATCCACTGAGATTCCGCAGCACTCTTGGTTGCCTGCACTTGTGGGTAGCAATCCTTGAGACTTTTTGTTTTCTTCTCTCTCGAATCCCCAATCCCCAAATGAAAAGTGGTTTGTAGTTCCCCACCAGATGTGCCTTGCTGTTCCCCTGCTTTACCCGACTCTATTTTTGACCCCCGTCCTCCTGATTCCTGCACTTTTGACCCACTCGGATTCGGCCCACACCCGGTACTCAACCCAGAGTTGGAGCCTAACGTCAAGCCCAGATTCGTACTCGGCCCATTCTCCTCAGCTCTCACCAACTGTGCTCCGCCCGTTACACCTTCATCATTTAACTTCAAAACATCCGTCTCCTGCACCAAATCCGCGGCAATATCCACTACATCTTCGTCGCGAATCTCGAATAACAGCAACTCAGGATCCTCTTCCCCATTCTCCGACGAGGAATATTCCGAGCCCGTTGATGACCTCGCCATCTATAGTAAACTTTTGGTTTTGTTAAACTGGGTAGAGATCAAGAAACATGAACATCAAATAATAGATGGACTACAATGATAATTTCCACTAAGGTTTAAGCCAACTAATGCCCTGTAGTTCATGTACCACTTTCATTCATTTTATGTATTTGCAGTTTGGTTGGTAAACATTTTTTTAAGATATATCATTTTTTTTTTCTGAAGACTTGTAAAATACAAAGTCTTTATGCCACATTCATGCTTTTTTCAAAAAATACAAATTTTTTATAACAGTCTGTGTCTTTCACTTGTTTGTCAAGTTTTTTTAATTAAACTGGACCAAAGATCATGCATGCCAAATAATAAAATTGTATCTAACAAAAAAAGATTAATATTGTCAGCCAAGTTGCTATTTTTTTACTCTCCTTGTTTGAGAATAATTAAAATTTATCTCAAGATAATAGTCATTTCTTAGTTTAAAAGAATAATGCCGAAGCCTGTGATGCCGACTGAAGGCCGAGCTCTGTTTGATTCCTGGTTCTGAGAAAGAGCGTAACTAATTCAATAGCCCTCAAGTTTATAAAACTATAACTTTTAAGTCCTTATATTTAAAATATATCATTTCGGTCTTTAAAATCAAACATGATTACTTTAATTTAGGGCATTAGGGTTTAGTGATTGTAATATTAGGGATTAGATTATATTTTTAGGGTTCAAGGTGTCAAGTGTTAGAAATTAAATTTTTTAAAGTTTAGATTTTTTAAAATTGAATGTTTATTATGTAAATTAGAGTTTAGATTTTTTAGGGTTCCATATTTAGGAGATTATGGTTTAGATTTTTTTTTTTTTTGGACTAAGTGTTTAGGTTGTTAGGGCTTTGTATTTAAGGAGTTAGGTTTTAAATTTATTGAGTTCTTTTATGATATTAGGAATTAGATTTTTTGAATTATATATTTTATAATATTTAGATTCTTTCAAATTTAGTGTTTAATGTGTTAGGATTTATATTTTTTAAGGTTTAAAGTTTAAAGTTAATTTGTTTTCAATTTAATTGTTAAATAATTTAAAAATCAAAATTGCAGGACCAAAGAGTGAAATTTTAAATTTTAAATTTTAAAAGTAAAAATCGAAAAAATTGTAGGGATCAATCAGCTTGGAGACCGATCGGTCCCTATGGCATTACCCTTTTTTACATAATGTTTGCATAATTTTTCTTTTAAGGCTCTAATTACTCAAAACTCTAAAACATAAAAAATAAAATAAAATCAATAACTATAAATTTAAAATAAAATCTAATAGATAGCAGGGAAGGATCCATTAGTCCTAATAAATTTGTGCATCCTTATAACTGGACAAAAGAGCTGTGACAGCTGTCCCATGATATTAGTAAATTTAATATTTAAATAGGGTTAAGGCCATCTATCGTCCCTCTACTATCCAAAATAGTGCATTCTAAACCTTCTACTATGAATTGGCTTCATGTCGTCCCTCTACAATGTAAAAGCATGCACTTGTCGTCCCTCTACAATGTAAAAGCATGCACTTGTCGTCCCTCCGTCCAATTAAGCTAATGGCTGTGTTTGTTGACTGTTAAGTGCCAACGGTCACACCCGGTTAGGCCCCTTTTTTTTTTTTTTTGCCACCTTGCTTTGTGAGTCCCACCCTAGTGCGTCCAATTACCCTTAATATTGATTTTTGTAAAAAACAAGAATGAGTAAATTTAGTACTTATATAATGTAAAAAATCAATGAAAAGCCTATAAGGTAGTGAACTAAAAGGTTCTACTTCAACTTTCTAATTAATAGAAAGCTGATTTCAAGGTATTTATTAGTCAAATATTTTATGTATATTAACCATGATATAATGATCAACTAAAGAGGAATTACCAGATAAGAATTACCAGATAGACGATCTTCAATATGTGAGACTAAAGGGAAAAAAAACAAAAATGATCTTCAATAAAATATTGAATGGATGACAAAATAAATAAATAATAAATATTGCACATTTGGGCAGATTCTACCCTTCCTCACATAAAAATATTTATTTGTTTATTTATTTATTTAATGAAACTCACATAAAAATGTTGGCTTTTCCATTTTTTTTTTTAATTTTTCTCCTTTTACTATCAATTGTTTCTCCCATTGCAACTTTATGTTTAAAGGTTCTCCACTTCAATATGTGTTGCTTTATGGAAGGCAATATGAGGTATGGTAAAAGTTTAGTTATTGAGGATTGATAGACCCTTATGCTTAAATGATTAAGAGGCTAGAATACTTGCCCATAATTATTAACATAAGGAGGCTAGAATGCTTAAATGATTAAGAGACTGAAATTTTCAAATAAAATCAAAACAGCCAACCCCATCCATCCAATGTAGCTGTTCCGCCATTATTTCTTCACCACCACTAGAACCCCCTTCGATTCTCCTTCACCTCCATTCACCACCACTAAAAATGGGTTGCTGCTTTAGCTCTGCCACAGCCACAATAGCCGCTACCAAAATAGACCCAAAGTGGCAAAATTTCTCCAAAACCAAAATCCCTCATTTCCCCTCTAAACCCCCGATTTCAGAACCTTGCAAAACCCCAGCACCGTCGCCTCCTTCCCCTGTAAAAGAAACGGTGAAAGACGTGCTGGTACTATCTGACACACCATTAGTCCGCATCAAACAAGAGGAAAACGCCCAAATGCTCGGTACCCAAGAATCTGAAACCGAATCAAAAGATTTTAACTCCATGGAGAAGCGGCGATTTCAAGTGCAGAAACAAGGAGAAAAAGTCTCTGGTCTCTCTGAAGTATCGGAGATATATAGCATGACGGACACCATCTCAACGGCAACGACAGCAACGACGGCAGCCACAAAAGATATTTGCACATAATTATTAACATTAATATAACTTCATTTCATCCAATGTTACTTTTTGTTTTTATTTGTGGTCATAATTTGCTTTCAAATACATAGTGATTGAATCACACAACACAATACTTTGATATATAAATACAAGATATAATCAAAAGATTCGAAACCCACACATAGCCAAATCACTGAAAGAAAATTAGCAAAAAATGGTGTATCTTTAAGTAGATGTTAAAACTGTGTTGGATGAACTTGATACTAAGTTCTTAGTTTTCTATGAAAAAATTTAGCATTCTGTACATGATGTTGCTTTTGATACCCAAATATCTCTTTAACATTGGACTTTCCATTTATTTCAAAAAAAAAAAAAAAAGGCTCAAGTAAAATATCTAATCCAAAACTGCATTTATTTTATATGTAATATAGAAACTTGAGAATTTTTGGAGGCAAAATAAATAGAAAATGGGGTTGAGTTCCTGCCCACCTACAGGATCCACGTTGGGGAGGTAGCAGGAAGTCACGGCAAAGGCAAAAAAAAATTTGTGAGAGATGAGGTGGGGCCCATAAGACAAGGTGGCAAAAAATAAAAATAAAAAAGGGCCTAACCAAGTGTGACCGTTTGCACTTAACGGTCAATAAACAGGACCGTTAGCTTAATTGGACGGAGGGACGACAAGTGCGTGCTTTTACATTGTAGAGGGACGACAAGTGCATGCTTTTACATTGTAGAGGGACGACAAGTGCATGCTTTTACATTGTAGAGGGACGACATGAAGCCAATTCATAGTAGAAGGTTTAGAATGCACTATTTTGGATAGTAGAGGGACGATAGATGGCCTTAACCC